TAAGTTAAGAGGAAAACGTATACTTTCAAGGGAATAACATAGTAGCTCTATTTTAGCTAGCCGCCAAATACAACATGGTTATCGTTTCCCCAATTCTCGAGAGAGATGAGGAAAAAGACGATGTGATTTGGAACGCAGCTATAGTCATCTCTAACACCGGAAAAGTTATTGGCAAAAGTCGGAAGAACCACATTCCCAGAGTTGGAGATTTCAATGAGGTACGCTTTGTTCTTAATTCGCTTACATAACCCTGAAGTGCAAAGAATGATTTTTTACTATTATTCCCGAAAAGTCGTAACTTCTTTTATACTCTGACGAAAAGAGAAGTTTTCACTTATTGAATAATAAAATATCCTTCTATGGGTAGCAAAGAAACTCTGCTAATACTATTAATACATTTGCATACCTATATATCAAAGAAATTAAGTGATACATTTGCAGTCAAATTACTACATGGAATCGACGCTAGGCCACCCTGTATTCCAAACTGCCTTTGGTAAGCAATTTTTCAAGATTGGTTATCTTTCAGAAAAAAGTTTATCTTTTGAATTGTCTATCATTCACACATAATTGAATTTCAGGAAAAATTGCCATCAATATTTGTTACGGTCGTCATCATCCACAAAACTGGATGATGTTCGCACTCAATGGTGCCGAGATCATTTTCAATCCGTCCGCTACCACAGGAGATCTAAGGTACGGTAGATGAGAAGGAGTTTTACAAGTTACACAACGAAACACATTTAGCGAGCCTCTGTGGGGCATTGAAGCTCGCAACGCTGCGATCGCCAATCACTGCTACACTGTCGCCATCAATCGCGTAGGGACCGAGACATTCCCGCATGAATTCACCTCTGGCAATGGCCTACCAGGTAAGGGAATAAAATAAAGGGCCTTTGGCTCGAGAATGTGGCGAGTGGGGTGTCAAAGTCTTGATTTTCTGTTGAATTATGCCCGTACCAACGAGTGCGGGTAGATTTGAATCAACCTGCTCCTGGCGATCTTTAGCAAGAAGGAGTTCACAATAAAGATGTGTAAAAGGAACAATTTGATTTGTTTGAATTTGAATTGTTTGTGAGTAGTGTCACAAACAATTCAAATTCATATGTCAGCTTACGAACCTTGAACCCTGAAGATTATGAAAGTCTCTAGGATCGTTACTGCTTAAGAAAGCAATCGGGGTTTGGGTACTTTGAAATTATCATTTTGGACTCACAAAACTTTTGTGGAACCTTGATACACTCAATGAAATATTATTAAAACGTAAGAAGTAAAACACGACGTAAAACATACTACACTCGCTTTATTCGACCGCGGTAGTAAAACGGAAAGTCAATAAAACAATAAAATTTTCAAAAAAGCGCTTTGCTATCTTTTCGTACTGATTTACGATTTCGAGACGACAATATGACAATGAGCGTGGCAGACAAATATTATCTTTTCCAGCTCACAAAGACTTCGGTCACTTCTTTGGAAGTAGTTACGTCGCTGCTCCAGATGGCAGTAGAACCCCGGTAAG